CCCCAAACACAAATGCCTTTCACATGTTTCTCTGCTAATTTGGGCTCCTCTCAGCGAGCGCAGTCCAACCCCATAAAAAAATTAAAAATAAAAAAAATTCTGGGACGTTTTTTGGCTCGTCTGGTTTTGCTGGATGGACCCCCCCCGATCCATCTGGCCCGGTCCGTCAGGCCCGGTGCGTCTGGACCGGACGTCGGCCTAACCCAGGCTTTATGAACTTTTTCTTTTTTTTTCCAAACAGACTCAGACGGAGTCAGACCTCTTTTGAGCTTCTTTCTAAATGTATTACAAATAATACAAAACGAAGTAATTCAAACAAAAGAGTATAAGAAAAGGTGAAAATAATCCTAAAACTTAACACGTTTCAAAAAGTTGTCAAAGACAGCCTTCCACAAATAGTTGTCCAATTTTTATTGGTGTGCCTTACTTCCCCCTCCCCCTCCTTCAGCAGAATTGAGCCCCCGCGACCCTAAAACCAGCCACCCTCTTGGCTTCCAGAGCCTAGGCCCCACTAGCAAGTAGCCTGAATCTGGACGTATTTGTTGACAGGTGTCAGAAAATCGCGATTGAAACTGGGTTATGCATCTCTGCATAAAACACATTCAGATGCATGAACTTAACCCAATCCTTCTTGGCTAGTGGGGCCTCTCTACAGGCTCAGTGTGGGGACTGAGAGGGTTAATAAAGGGTCGTTGAAAGGGTTAATAAAAGTTCGTTAAAATTTCTCACACTGGGAGTGGAGCGAGGTACTTTCCCCGTTTGATTTTGCTCGATAAAGTCCATGTCAGAACCCCTCATAACATAATGCTGGAGCCTTGAATATAGAGCCCACTGCTCAAGCCTCAAGTCTGCAGAGCAAGTGCCCAAGGCGTGGGTGCCAACTCCTTCAAGGATAAGGACTCCGGTTACCGCAACATCCTTGCTGCCACTATCGGCCTGATATTCCAAGCCTGCCATTAAGTCACCTCTCTCCAGTAATTTATTGGTTGGCTCTAGTCCAGATGTGGAGGGATGAATTTCCTAAAAGAGCAAGGGGAAGAAGAGGTGCTAAGACCCCGACCACTGTTCGTCAATCAACACCAGCGAATAAGCATAATAAGCCATGGGAGTTAAGAAGCAAAGACGGAAGATGACGCATATTGTTAAAGAAATGGCTGTAGAAAATTCATCTCATATATGGGTCCCTGATCAGAATGAAAGATGAGAGAAAAAGACTCTTAATTGAGAGCGACCTTCAAATGCGGCCATATTTTGAAATCAAACCTGGACCAATGGGCCTAGCTCAGTTGGTGCACCCATGAACTGTTGAAATACAAACCTGAGTTGGAATCCAGATGGACTAGATGAATGAAATAAGTAACTCTATATTACCTGGGGTTAGCCAGTTCAACAATGATATCCCGAGGCCGTCCCTTAAAAAAAATAAAATAAAAAATAAAAAATGGAGGAGATTATTGAAAGTATTCTACGAAAAGTTGAATCGTACTTGAGGAACAATCCAAGATTCGGGGCAATCAGCAGGAAACCAAAGTTGTAATTCAATTGTCATGACGTTGAATATTTGGAATCGTTGATTACAACGAGTAGGATCCTCAGAGGTTATATGCCCAGCAACCATTCTATCTCTCTGGTTGAAGATATAATCCGATGCCATTAATTGAAGGGACAGAGACGACGGGAAAAAGGGAGACTAGGCAAAACCAACAAATACCACCTAAGCGCTCTAGTCTATGAACTAAACCAAAGAAGATACAACCATAGCTAGCTTCAAACGGTATGCAATAATCCATGCCGAGAGGTCATTTTCTCAATTGGAGAAAGAGGCGTCAATGGCGTTGAATTATTCACGCAAGGCCTTCCTTCACAAGGTAAG